AAGCTACTTTAAGAGTTTGCTCGTATTCACAACCAGGGAACATTCAGACTCCAACTTTTAGATCCCATCTGCTCCATCTGTTAATGCAGACAAGTAGCCTTTTAAAAAACAAACCTTGAACTACCCCTGAAGGAAGTCTATCTTCTCCACAGGGAGAAGCCAAACCTCCCGCTTCGACACCTGAACCAAGGTTCACTACACCTCAGCAAACTGGCTAGAAGTTTTAAGTTTTACAAGTTCTGCAGAGAAAAAGCAGGCAATGGGTTACCCTTTTCTAGTAATTGGAACCAAGAGAAAACCATTATCTACTGATTCACTTTCTGGATGCCCATTAAATTATACAAGTGCTTCATTTAAATCAGCTTTAATCACTTACATCAAAGGCACTTGTTTCAAAGACAATTAATAAATCCTGTTATCTGAACGGCAAAGGGTGATGAGAGTGGCAAGCAATGGGGAAAAAAAAAAGGAAACAAAAAAAATCTGTTCTACAGCTATTATTCTTCAAAGAATCCCATTTCCAAGTTACCAACAGACATTCTGAAAACTTCTTGAGAGTCATCTTCTTCACTTACACCAGTGGTCTTATACTATATTTGATAAAGTTTAATATGATAGTACATTGTAATTTTTTTACTATGCTAATTCTAGGCAATGTTTCACCTCACAATTATCTCCTCAGGGATGCCAGGGCTGAAAGTAAATGGAAACTGAACATTACTCAAAAAGTTTTTCATAAAATACAAACTGAGAGATTACTCTGTGTAGGATTGCATCTTTATTGTTACTAGCTATTCTTACGCCCTTAAGTTGCCACAACAGATTCCCATACAGCACTGCATCCATCACGCACTTCCACACGCTCATGAACTTCCCAGCTGTACTCCACACCGACTTCCAGACACCACAGTCTGTGGAGACAAGCGGCCTTTTTGTTGCTTTAAACCGCTTGAGGGGGAAAGTCCGCCCCATTCCCTCTCAGCATCTCTTCCCAGATAACCTCAAGTTTTCTCCAGCGTGCTCCACACTATGTGTATGACTGATCAGCCTCAAACACTACAGTCAACCTAAAGAGCACATGTAACCCCTGACCTGAAAACTGCTTAACGAATCTGTTAGTGGTATGTATGCCGAACAGAGTATAACTTGAAAGGCTCCCTGAAACCACAGAACCCCCAGAGAAAATTGTAGCAGTACACAGGGAGAATACTTCAGCTCTTTAGTGTCCTAGAATAAGGCTTCTAGAAAATATTTTAATTTCCTCTACCTTTCAAAATTACCGCAAATTCCAAGGTAACAAGGTAAAATAAAATTAACTTAGAACATGGAAAAAAAAAATCAAATCATACTTAGCATTCTCTCAACAAGGTACCAAAACATAAATTGGTGATCTTTTTCTTTTCAGTAACTACAAATCATCATCTTTTGTATTATAGCATCATGCATGCAATACATGTGCAAGCAGCCTCTGAAGTGTCTGTTTCACAGCACATGAAAGCTCAACTTCTTTCAGGTAAGTATGGAAAAAGTCTTTAGTACTTGCCCAAACGCTAATTGAAATTTATTTCACAATGATAAAAATTGAAAGATTTTACATTTTCCCTACTAGAGAAATAATTTCCAAAGTTAAGATTTCTTATTATAAATAAAATGAGTAAGCTAAGTAAAATACATCACGTTTATATTAAATATAAATGGCTTACATTTCATAGCACAAAGAATAAGTGTTCAGTATTTCCCTATAAAATTTAAGATACACAGGCCTTGCACGTATGGCTTCATTAACATCTTATACAATTTGTTCTCAGTCATATCCATCAACACAAACAGCACCTCTACATAAAAGATGCATCCTAATGATTTCAATGAAGTGCAGTATACTCCATTAGAGAGAATATGTTTTAATTAACAGTTCTAATACCAGTTACAGTGTACAGTACTTTCACCAATCTACTGTGTTGTAATTATACAAGATAGAAGGAAGAGACCAAATCATACAGCCCCCACCACAGTACAGATCCCAGTACAGGTTTACTTCAAGAATGGCTGGAAGATTTGGCTTATAATACATTATTTATTTATTAATAATAACATATTTATTAAAAAGTGGGCAACATTTTCCAACAAGAAGTCAGACTTCTGACTGCACAAAACTGCAATCAAATTTAAGTACCGTTTTCAAACTAAAAATGCATTAGGGAGTTAGAGACCCACTGAAACAAACCAACCTGCAAGCAAGGTATTTTCGTATCAATGCTTTCGCAAGTTTGACAGACATCACCCCCTTTGGGGGAAAGTTTAACACTGCAAAAAAGAATCTTCATTATTGGACAGTTACAAATTGTAGTTTATGATGACAGGACATTGACATTTAAAACACTGACAGTCCTACTTCTCCATTTTAATAGAGTATTATGAAAACCCCCACACTAGACTGAGCTATCATTCAGCCTAAAAATACAGGCAGTTATGACAACAATCCCATCATCAAATCACTTCAGGTAGTGAAGTTCAGCTACTAGATCACACACACAGCTTTCCAACCAGCTGTGAATTTAGAAAAGACAGGAGCTCAAGATACACACTGTAATATGGGAGGAGACAGGACAGGTTTCAAACACATCCTTGAAGTTCCCTCTAGCTTCTGGGCTCTTTAACAACCCTCAACTACAACATACTCATATACCCTGGCAAAAAACACAACTTCAGAGGAAGAATTCTTCTTAGAATACAGAAATTCAGAATAAGTCACAATATTCACTAACATTTACTTTGTTGTAGACAAAGCAAGCAACAAAAACCAATATGAAAAAAATATTGTTGTGATAGGGACTATTTGAAAAAAGTTTGCACATAAAGCACTTCTAGAAAAACATCTGAAAGCATCATGGAGACAACGGCTGAAAGTGACTTGGATTAAAATGCATTAAGTACTAGAAACTGACCACAAGCTGTGAACACAGTTCACCAAAACTGAAGAAAGTGTTATGAAGCTAACCCGGAACAAGGCTAGGACTAATCTCATTCTAACATCTTAGACTGAGTTTAAAAAAATGTTTCTAACAGAAGAAAGAATATGTGAAATGAGCACACGGTCAATTAGCAGTTGAATAAGACAGCTGAACAGCATTACCATTCAATTTACAAACAGAACAAGAAAATAATAACGGAAAAATTAGAAACTTATGCAGAACTTTGGAAACATGCCAATATTCAGGGAATTATTTAGACAACAGGGGAATGAGGATAAATCTAAGAACAAAAAAAACAGCAGGACTGCAAAATTAGCTAATGCAATTTGGGAATGACTCCAAGCTAGGACATATTGTTCTCTCAATAAAACTTTGGCACAACTACAATAAGAATGTTATGGTTTCTTCTGTGAGCTAAATTAACTGAAAGACGAATTGGCAGATAAATAGAACAGAGTGACTGAGGGTAAAGACTAATTAAACTTCAAAGTTAATAGACACGCCCTTTTAAACACGCAGATGGAATATCTAAAAGTGTTTCAACACCATTTAGAAAAAAAAGTACTTTTCAATTTTACATATTAGGAGATATTTAGTAATCCAGAGAAACTGAATTAGAAAAGAAAAACAGCTTCCTAAAAATGAAGTGCAATACATATGAAGAAAAGCACTGAAAGCTGAGAACTCGCACTAGCTGAAAAAGTCAGAGTTCTGGCAGCAGCTGTGTCAAAGAAGGGACACAAAGGTGTAATTCCCCATTTACGCATTTGTACTGGCTGACGCCTTGGACGTAAATCCATATACGCCGTAAGAGGACCACTTGATTAAGCTGGGGGAGGAGAAAGTACCTTAAATGCAGGTATGAAGCACAGTGCTGACAACACAGATACGAATATTCTTTGCTTGCAAACATACTACAGTATAAAACACTGTTATGCAGTACATTATGTAGTAAAAACTGTAGTGTGTTTTTTAAACATTCTCAAGTGTGGTGACAGCCTCTGAACTCTACAGGAGAACAGCTGTTTCCAGAAGTAAATTATGGCTTTTAACTGCAAAATACTGTTGAGTGTGCATCGATTTCTGTAACCCAGCACGTTCTAGAATTTTAAGCTTCCGAAAGAAGAGACATTCTGTACCTCGTGGATTTTTTTTTCCCCATAGTAGGGTCTTCATATTCGTAGGCTATACTGATCTAGGCAAACGTAGAATGATGTATTTGAAAATAAAAATCTTTGTTCTTTTTCAGAAAAAACTCAAGTCTCTACATGCAATAAAAGAAATCATAAGATGGTATAAATTTAAAGTTTAAGTAAGTTAGATCCCAATTGCACTTCTATTTCCGTTTAAAAAGAAATCAAATTAGTCAATACCTGTGTTACAGATAAGATTTCAACAATACACAAAACTACACAGCTGTGTTGTTTTCATTTAGTTACTCCAGAGCAGACAGAAAAATGAAAACTGTATGTTGGAATTGCTCACATAAAATATATTATCAACATTTCTACACAAATAAAAGCTCCAATGACTAAAGCACAAAATGAATATTCAGTATGAAAACAAGAATTTTTAAATGAAACTTGAATTAATCCTATGCTCTTCTTCAGAATTCTGTTCCAAGTCAGCATTTTACATGAGTCTATAGTAACAAAAAAAAAGACAATAAGCAACAAATGACGGTGTAACAATGAATGAGTCCCTTCAGAATTTCTACAATATCTACCTATACGAAACCAGTCAAAAACTGAGGTGGTTTAAATATAGGAAATATCTTTGCTGACTTGTAGCCATACCAGAAGAACAACCATCCTTATCTGAGGTAAGAATTAACATTTAATATTTAAAGCTTTGTCCTTGATAACATTTATTTTACCATCACATGTCCCGTATGTTACATATTGTGTACTTTATCCATCCATTACATAAAGGAAATGTTTTAATATATTTTCAAGAATAAATCATGTCTCAAGCATAACTAAACTGCTCATTTTTACGTTGCTCACTTAAATTTATGTTTAATTATTTGTACAAATAGTTTAAAATTCTGCAATCAAAAAAAAATCAGATGTCTTATACAGCACGCTTAGGTTACATTCTGTCATTGGTACCTAGCTGCCTCATTCAAATAGTCCCACCAGTGGACGATTAATACCAAAAAGATTATCGCCTCTTGTACATGTGTATTATTTAATCCTCATCCTAAGTATAAATTTGCAACACAGTAGTAACACTGCAGGTATAGAAGTAATGCTTCCTATCAGGCATATGGAAAGATTAACACTCTACCACAGTTGATGCTGGTGTATTTATATAGAAGGTTTCTCACATATCATTTCAGTCTACGGGAGGTAGATGTTTGTCTATGAACTGTTTTACATCCATCATCTCCTGTTTAAAGATAAAAAGCATGTATTAAGGTGACATTTCCTACTAATACATATTCAGCTACACCAAATCATGTTTCAACATCTCAGTTATAATGAGCAGCTGGGCTACAAATATTGAGTAATTAGTTACTTGATAAAATCATACCACTTTGCACACAACAAGTCAAGGCTGATAACTCTTCAAGGCACTATGCACTCAGAAGAGGCTAAAATACACGAAAAAGAGCAAAGACTACTTTTTTTTCTCTCTCTATGAAGCTGAGCTGGCAAGCTACATGATTAATCATCAACTGATCTGAACAGCACCAGCCTGAGCATGGGCAGCATCTGAATGTAGCTAAGGCTGTAGCTTCGTGTATACTTTAAACTTTTGCAAGTTAGCAGCAGTGTCAAAATCCAGTAGCTCCTCCTCCTAACCATTCAGTTCCACCTTCATGATGCTTCCTTCCTCGAGGAAAAGCAATACAGTGGACTGGGAAACCATCCGTGTTAAAAACAATTTAAATTACTAAGTCAATGTTGTAAGAACGAGCACATTATTAATATATTTGTGTGACGAGTCAATGCTATTACTGCCTAAACACAATACAACTCTGTTGTACAGTTCTCACAAGACACAGCAATCCAAATTAACAAAGTTACTGTTGCTGACAAACGGCAGACTTGTTCCCTGCCCTCTCTTCTGTTTCTTGCTCCTACCATGTGCTTTGTGAGAGCTCTGACGCCTCAACTCACGACAGCTACGAAAACTGACGCCAGCAGCTTTTGCCTTTTTAACAAGTTCACATGGTTCAAAGAAGTTTCTGATCAGGTCCAGAGCTGGTGCAAGAAGAGAGGGCCACAAGGTCATGAGCAGAGGGAACTAGTCCACCCCTTTCTGGCAGCAACAAGCCATTACATCAGCTCAGCTGCCTGCTAAGCCAGAATTGTAAACATAGAGTCTCAGGCTTCCTCTTCCGTAGCTTCAACCCTTCCTCCCCATTCCTTCAATGTCTCCATACACAGAACTAAGAGGATTCTTCTCTCCAAAATACCAAGCTGGATTTATGCTGCGAGAACCTGCCTTCCAATTTAGTGGTTTTTGTCTTGTTGGGTTTTTTTGTGTTTTGTTTTTTTGGGGGGGTAAGCAAATACTAAAAAAGGAGGGGGGAGAAGCAAAGTATTTTATAGACCAAGTAGCCTAGTCCCAAAAATACAACCTTAAGAGGAAGTTCCCACTAGTCATATAAACTTTAGCCTTGGGTTTTTTTTTCAGCCAGGCATTCAGTTACTCACTCAAACAAGTCAGTAGCATCAAACACTTGTTATTTAAAAAAAAAAAAAAAACCAAAACCAAAAACACACCCTCCCACCTCAAAAAAAAACCCGCCCAATACATATTTGTTTTGAGGGAAAAAAAATTAACCATCCCCAGCTAAAACATTGTATATTAAGAAAATTACCTCAATACATGAGCTATGCATCATGCCAGAGTAAGTCCTGAAGGTTACGTTGGCTGGATTTAACATACTCTTTAGCTTCTCAACAGTGAGAGAACCGAACATTAGAGGAACCAACGGGTCACAGTCACCATGGCACTGAAGGACAGCAATCTCCTTGTTGACACCACTGATAGGGCCCTGCTAGGCATGGAATTAGAGGGGAGAAGAGAAGAAAGAGACAGTAAGCGGAGGGAAGGCTAACAACTTTGAGGTAACATAATCCCATTGCACTATGCCCTGTGGCATGACAAACAAGTTGAAATCTGAAGGAAGAAAACAATGTATAGCCTGCAAGCTCCTTATGAAGCAAGTTTTGTGCTTGACAACACAATAAGTTCAAAAACCTGCAAATAAAATTTTGGTACTAATTTCAGAACAGAAGAACATGATTCCTGGCCAAGTAAAAAAACCTGACACTTTGTTTAAATACCTAGTCTCTAATAAGATACTACCTTGAAGATGGAACAAACGGCAAATAGAAAATTAATCTTCAAGGAAAATTTGCTGTATCCTTTAAGTTTCCTAGGAATAGAATTTTAAGCAGAGATAGCTACTGAGTGTTTCCTTGTTTTCCCTACTTGCCATACTCTCAGACTCCAGGTCCCTATTTTAAAAACTTCCATGTTATCAAACAACTGTCATTATTCGGTAATAAGAATGGCCAGTAATTCCTGCACAAGATATAATCTTCAGATATACTCACTCCCCAGGTGCAAATTAGCTTAGGAAAGAAACATAAATACCTGAGGAAAAGAAGCCCGTAGAGGAAGCCAACAGCTGAGGGCTACAACACCTGCTAATTTTTGTTGTGTTGTAAGAGCTGTATACAACGATAAAGCACCTCCCTAAGACAAAAGATGTAAGTATTAGAATGATGATGGTAATGTTCCTTTTAATACTTGTTTCAAGATCTCTGGTTTCTCCTTCAGAAGTCTTTTTTTCTATTCCAATCTATTCTTCCTTAGACCAACACTAAAATCAGTATTCCTGTACAACATTTATTTCGCCTCCCCCTCCCCCAAGTCCATGTGATCAACTCAGAAGTAAACCAGCAAATTTACTGTAACTAACAGAAAATAGTAATTATTTGCATAAAACTAAAAAATTTCATTTGTTGAGGGAATGGAAAACTGATACATTAAAATTTTAGAAGCACCTAACATCAGATCTTTTCAATTCAAGTGTCTGGATTTCCCACGTTAGGAAAGCTAGATTACTTCCCTAGAAGAAGATGCAGTTCTTTCCAACAATACTTTACCTGAGAAAAGCCTCCCAGAATAATTCTATTAGAAGGAATTCCATTTTTTACTTCTTGATCTATCAGTGTTTTAACTGCAACATAAAAAAGCCAGTAGTTAAAACCCACCCCATTCCACAGAAAGTCTAGAAGAGGAAAGTGTCCTCCCCCTGATGCCAACAGAAAGCTAGTGAAAGCAAAATCTAGTCTGCTATACATTAAAACATATCAAAAGATCTAGAGCACGATCAGAAACTCCAGTGCCACTGTACCATTTCCAAAGAGAAAAACACGCAAGCAAGTCCCACAAAAGCCCCACTGCCAGGAAGACGGTACCCTCTTCTAACTATCCAGCATCACAAGTGGATGCTCATACAGCTCTAACCTGCTGTGCTACCCATGGGCTCTTAAAAAAAAAAAGGACATCGGTTCCCCTGTACATTTCATATTTGAGAGTATGAAGTGTTTGTACCAGTGAATTACTCTACCTACTCGTGAAGTTCGAAAAAAACAAAAAAAAACAAAACAAACTATGCACTTAGCTACACTCTGATCAGCAATAATATATACATATTACTTCCCTTAACAATTTCGTCTTTGGAAAATCTGTTTCAGACTGGTAATTCATTTTTAAGAGTACACGGAAGTACTTTTAAGCCATCAAAAGTATTCCTAAGCATACCATTCTCCGCTGCCTGCTTGATCCCAGCTTCATCTTCCTGTGAATCTGGAGAAAGTCCAGCGATATCAAACCTTACAAAAACATCAACAAGAGAATAACTCATTAGAGCATCCATTCCACTTCCTTAAAACACGAAGAGTAAAAGCTTTTCTGAGTTTTGCTATCTGCTGTAATTTACTGCAGATTTTTAGAAAACATCAAAACTGAGCTGCTTAAAAATATCAATAAGGAAAACCCAACACAAGTTACTTGAAAAAAAAAAAAAATGAAGAGGACTGTTTTAAGACTGTTGAAATCTACCATATTTTTCTTGCTTTCTATTCAGCATGGATTTTCTAAAAAACAGTTCTAGATATCCTACTGACGCACCAAATATTACTCACTAGTAGCAGTGATGTTTCCACTGCAAGTCTCTAGTACTACTGACTATGAATTCACACACAATACAGACTAAAGACTATACTTGTACAATAAAGTGGTTTTTTAATTTTAAGAAATATATATTAGTCCTGAGGAATAACCATTACCACAGACACACAATGAATTAGAGCATACTCGTGAGAGCCCTTTTACAAGAACAGAACTAAAGCAAAAAGCTTTTTATACTTACATCTGATTAAAACTAGCCAATCGGGTTGTTTGTGATTTTTAATCCAAAACAATGAGCTCAAACCCCTATATTTCTTTTGATCAGCATCATCTGCAATTGAACAAATACTTACCATGATGGCATAGCCATGTTCATGTTCAAAGAAACTGGCATAACTGGCCTAGAAATGAGAATGAACACTGACATAAGATATATATCGAAATTTAATAATGCAGATGAGGTTATGTCATGAAATCACATATCCCCAAGTCTGTCCTGCTTTCAAACCATCATTAACATTAGCTATTTAGTAGCGTCTATTCACGAAACGTCTCTCGAAACCTGCTGGCCCAAACACATTTAATCTTCAGAGATGAATTACCACTCTCTATGGTAAGCAAGCAAAACATTAATGGGCTGCTTTATATAAATACCTATGTTTATGCATACATATATAGCACGTACATACAGGAGATACATATAGAGAGAGATATAAACACCCACATGTATCTCAGTTATTTATCACAGTTCCACACGCGTGCTCAGTGGATGAAGGCACCTTACACCGCAGCAGCAGCTCACCTAAGGAAGCAGCCAAACGCAGCAGCATAGCGGCAGATACCAGTCTGGCCACACGCGCTTCTCCCAACAGCAGAATCTGCTGAAGCGGTGCCTGCCTACATTGCAGGACTCATTCCCACCCTCACGTTGCTGCATGGCATCTTTTCAGACATACCAAGCCAACTTCAACGGACCATGCCACGGATCAAATCCGGCTATAGTTTTAATCTACTGAAATTGAGGAAGATAAGCTCTGCGGGGAAAGACTATAAGACGACAAAGGGCAAGCAAAGAGAACAGCGGATACTGCTAAGCTCTTTCTGAATGGCTCAGCAAAGTGTGACCATGTGGTAAAATAAATAAATCACAGCCCAGTAATCAGCAATACACCAAAACACTGCTTACTTATCTCCCTGTCATCCCTGCTCCACGTCTCCCAAGACTGCTGGAGCAAAAGACAATCTGAATTTTCTGTTAAAATAAACTAAGATCATATTTAATGACTTTTTCTATCATTAAGTAAATACTAGCTAGATCTTAATGCTTTATTTACTGACTCCTCACCCTGCTCAGAAGTATTTCCCTTCTCAAATTGCACAAAGACAGCTCATATTGCACTATTTGCTGAAAATATGAATATCCTGTGAATCTTTGAAACTTGCTGTAGGGAACAGGGAAATTTCATCTACTATACAAGCACCTGAGTTTAAGAATTACATGTACCTAATACAAAGTATATTTATTTAATAGTAATAAAGAATCAGTGAAATAAAAAATTACTCATTGTTAAGACTGGCTTTTAACAAATGACTGTTCAGGGGAAAAAAGCAATAAACCACTCAAACCAGTGAAAACAGTTGAAACAATCTAACTTTTCACATAAAACTTTCCAGATACGTTTTCAATCTGAATTAATCACAAAAGCAAAATATGAATAAAAACATAGTTTTGCCATAAAGTAAATCACACAACAGTTCCTAAAAATAACAAAATATTTAATAGCATCAACATTAGAGTGTTTTTTTACATAAAAACAAAATGCAGAGACATCCAAATCCCATTTGACTTCATCATCTGTGCAAGTGTCTTAATAAGTAACTCTATAGAAGAACATAAAGCGAGAAAGTTACAAACTTACGCATGTGGGCAAATGTATTTTACATGGGGGCTTCTGATGCCTGCAAGCGCTTCTGACCATCCATGCCTGTTAACAAAAGAAGTATTAAATGGCATTTGTGTTTTGGCTTAGCTCTTATTTCTATGTTAGTGCAACAGCACAGAGCAAGTATGAAATATGCTGAATTAGATCAACATAAACACATTTCTAGAAAATTTTTACATCAGCTGCAGTATGCTATGAATATAGCACTAAACTGAAAGGTTTGTTCTGCCTCTGAATATTTGTTGCATATATACAGACACTTCATCTGACTATCACAGTTGCAGCACAAGTGCAGAAATACCACTTTGGCTCCAGGCAAAGCCTGCTCTGTATCTGTCTGGGTGTACTAAACTTGCGTGCTACAGCAGATGAACACAGGTACCCTGCTTCCATGCAGCTCTAGCCTAGAGGCTGCTTTGCTGCTCCTGCAGAGTTAAGGCAGCTTCTTTCACAGCCAGCTTTCCTTATTCTGAACCAACTACCTTCATGCAGGAGAGTAGTGAACTGACATCCAAGCTAACTCCGCATGGAGCCAACCTAATCAATCAGACCTATTAACTCTGGCTCAGCTCAAATGCTCTCAGGTTCAGGCACTCCTGAACAACACTCCAGATTTCAGGCAGCTTTTTAATCTCAAGGACGTGCTGTATGAACACACTGAACAACGTGAGATATGCACAGCAGATGAGCTACCAAGCTTCCTACAAACCTGAAAACTGGAAAGCGTAATTTAAAATACACAGCTCCAAAAGACTCACTCCAGGGCTCATCTAGACATGAACCGAGCTGGACTCAAACCCGAACCTGTGCAGAACCACTGCCTGTGCCTGCACTTTGCTTTCCAGGACACTCAATAGCACCCATATTTCCTGATTTTTCTCATTATTCAGTATTGCTAACTCACCCACTAAACTAGATACTGGAAAATTGATTCTAAGGAGAAAACACCTGTAACAAATTCATCAGTGGCACAGCTGAACTCACCAGACGAACGGCACACAAGCCATACAGGCACGTTTGGTTTAGTTGTAATTTTAGTATCAACCTGAAAAGTTATTGTATGCTACCTAAAGTTAAAGGCGTTTCAAACACACAGACAGCACAGACATTTGAAACACTGGCTGTGTATCTTGGCCTACTTCCTACCAATATTTATACATATATATATACACACACCATTAACAAATTGTGGGTGGTATTACTTGCATAACATTTGCAGTATCACAGAAGGCCAAATAAGAATCTAAAGGAGAAATATGACTGAGAAAAACTAGTTTGGTAAGAATTTGGAGACTTTTTTTAGCCAACTATAAAGATTAATTTGACAAATTCAGAAAGCAACATTGTATGCACATTTACACAGACTCTTTAGAGCAATCCTCTATGTTGTACCTTTTGCCCAGATTTTGATAAGTATGTACCAATCGTTAAGTGCCATTTATATAAGAGCTTAGAGAGAAAAAGAACATAATCTGTGTTAGACACTTCTCAGAGTAAGAAAAATACAGTTGGTAAACTGAAGAGAGCAATTAAAAAATTCCATGTGAAGTAGAACAGATCAGTTTAAACTGTGGGAAATTATAAAACTGTTAATTAGTTCTCTTCAGACAATTCTTTTTTTGGTCACTACTATGGCTTTTCTGGGAACAAAAAAAAAAATCGCAGTATGTCAAAGGCAGTTGCAGCTAATCCAATCTGCAGTGGACTAGAGGAACAAAGAACAGCTAAGTCACCATATTTCCACAGAGGAGTGAAGACTCGTTATTGCATACATCCCAGTATGCTCAGTGCATTCGCAAGCTTGAGGCTGCGCGTTAGCTTTGTCACTGAAATGGAAATACCACATTTGTATAAGGAATACAATTTATGTTAAAGAGCAAATCTCGGTGTTTTTTTCCCCCTTGCCAAAACCGACAGCAACTTGATTCACAAGGGCTCAAATTCCAAAGACTCAAAAGATTCTGCAATCACTTGCTGAACATTCGGTGCCAAGCTGCAGGCAGTACTGCTGCCTCAGCTGCATCCTACCAGCAGAAAGGAAGAGGGATAATGCAAACAAGGCAGTGTGTCAGCACAACAAATGAGAGCAAACATCCCCACCTGTAGAATACTGCGAAGCGCATGGACTTGACTCTTTTTAACTTCTGAAGTGTCCAGGTTATACAACTTTCAATTTCAACAGCTGACCTTTTTTTCATTTCTTCAGAAAAAGTTTATGTATTAAACACCGCAAGTTTCAAAGTAGAGGCAACATTCAGGTTCCAGGTAACAGAGTTCTTAAAAATAATACTACATAATTTTGACACAGTATTCATGCTGCTTATTTTCAGTATCTAAGTGCCAATTTCTTTAAAGCCTTTTACCAAAAAAAAGGTTTCAACATACCCCTAACTCGGTATTTCAATGGCTTTAATGAATGTATGCTTGTATCTCGGCACACACAAGCTTCAAATTGAAACATAACACCACACCTAGAACGCCTCCCAGAAATTCCCTACTCTTTCCATTTCTACTCAAACACTGAAATAACAGGAAAAAGGCAGAAAGGGTATTTCACAGCTTGTTCGAGCCTGAAGACCATATTTCAGATAGAGAAATCTGTAGGCATTAGGTGACAGAAGTTTGCTTAGATAAATTGAGTAAGGCTGGATTTTAATGTGAGTGTGATATACTCCAGTCTCAAGTGTGACATGGCCTAACTGCACCTACTAGCAAACCAGCAACCCATAAATCCAGAAAACGAAAACCTCTAAATTTAGACAAGCACAGGAATAACCAGGAACCTACTCTCAGGGAAGAGAAACATCAGAGACCCACAGACTTCTTTTTCCACCAAGTTTGACTCAAGAAAAAAAGAGGGACCATATCCAGACCAAATTAGGTAAGCAACTGAAAAGAAAGAAGCAAAGGCTTTTGAGGAGTTACGCTGGGAAACTTTAAATAAATAGTTGCCACCACCATTCGAGCACACGCGAAGTTTCACCTGTTGTTAGCCACTGCAGTCAGTCAAGGGCAGAACGAGAAGCTTAAGTAACTTCTAACTGCTCAGGTCTTTGAAACACGCGGCCTTATAATTGAAACTACAGCAACTATTACGTATGTAACAGATCAGAATACACACCCGGTATCTCCCAATCCATGAAGAAAAATCACCTAAAGGAGAAAAAAAACAAACAAACAACAAAAGGCAGCGCTATGGGTATCGTTGCGGATTAGGACCGCAAACGCCCCTAACCCCGGTAGCGCAGACGCCCACGCAAGATCTCGCACCGCTCGGCCCACGACGCCGCTTTCTCACACGCGCACTCGGCCCCGCTCACTCCCCGGCCCGGCC